TGCTTGGGCCTATTGCTTATATAACTTCCACAGTTATTTTGCACTGGCTACTATAAATTTACATCATACCCAATTTTCAAGTTGAGATTTGAGTCTTGACAATGTTTAGGCCGCTGCCTGAGTCAGGCATAACCATGATGAATTTGGCCGGATAGAAAGCAAAGATAAAGCAAAACTGTTGACCAGCTCAGCTCCTTCAATGGAAAAACATATTAGATCTCGCTCCACAGTCTCCTTGTCTCTATTGAATATGCAAATTCTGTTCATTACAGTCTTAATTTTCCCTTAATTTGCAGGTCCCATTTGGCAATGCGGTGGGGGCTTTAGTGTTTACAATCAAACCCGGGCATTGCACAAACTTCAGCATTTGATTTGGTCATGTCTGTTAAACAGTATAATATCTACAATTTAGTGTGCCTTATTGGTGATGTTATCTTGTTTCCATCTTTTCTGCTAAATCCAAATTGGTAGGATATAAAAGATATGGAAATCATTAGACTTTGTATGTGAGGTAGAGGGTTAGAAATTTCCACCGACATAGAATTGCTTTAGGAGACAGAGAGAGAGAGCCATGCATTGACATCCTATATGTCCTAATCAACATTTAAATTGACCCACAATTGCAGTGATTAACGACAATGTTAATGGGATCCACCGACACAAATCAAAGTGGAAAATTAAAATTGTAGACCAAAACATCACATCTAAGAGGTAGAATCCCTATTAGGTTTTTCATAGATGCGTTTGGAATCCTTGTTAACTTTCATATGCCCTAGAAAACAACATAACTAAATGTGGCTCTACACCCTTTAGGAGTTAATCAAAATTTACTTGTTAGTACAGAAAGATGAAGGAACACCCCCACTTTGGACATACAAGGGCAATTTTTGTTGACAGCTAAAATGGTTGCCTTTTGATTCCTAGTAAGACAGGGACAAAGCCTGTAGACTTCCGATTTTAGAATCATAAGAGTTTTTCTTTCTTAAAATAGGATATAGGGTTCACAACAAGTATAGTAATAGGACAAAGGAGTGGACCAAAGCATTTCTTTTCCCCTAAGTTTGCTAGTTATGGTCCCTACTATGGACTTGCTCTTAGGCAAATGTGTCCTCGTGAATCTTGTCATCATATCTTATGACTGAAATTCAGAATCTTGGCATGAGCGAAAAGTCCTAACTTAACTTTGGTTATAGTGTTTTGATTGCTAGAGACAATGGATTTTTACAGGAATATGTGCTTAACATGATCATGGGTTGCAAAATGGGAAAACTAACACCCATTTTCCAAGCAAGAGAGAGGTAAGGGGGAATTAATCTGGAGCTTGAGGATGACTGGAGCTGGTCGCTTTTACTTGTGAAGTGGGGAAATTTTATATGAATTGGCAGGCGAAAAAAGTGAAGTATCATTGTGGAAATGATGGGAAAGTGAAGGGAATCGTGATCTAAAGCCTACCCCACGTTCCAGCTTAAAAGTAGACTAGTGCTCAAACTTCGTAATATGTGCACACATTGTAACATCACATTCTTATCCCAAGAAGTTGGCTACATACGATTATATTTGCCAATTCCATTGTTGGTTTTTGCTTATAGGCATTTCATACTTTCCTGGTCTGGTGAATTCCAACGCTATTGAGATCATAGAATGAAGTGAACTGAACGATAATTTCATGTGAATCAAGAGCAAAACCTCAGGAGAAAAACTTCACGAGGCATTAGTTAGGAATATGCATGTATCCTTTTGCTAGCTAAACTGATCCTATATGAGATGAGACAACAGAAAAGAAATGGAACAGAATGGAATGGATACATCCTGGATCCAATCCCTAAAGCCGTTTTCTTGAGGATTGTGGAGTGAGAGAGGGGGAGATAGACTGGGATTTGATTGCAGCTTTGATCCGCTCTGTAAAGGGGAAATCCCCACTAACCATCTATGGAGGAATGAACACAAATATCTAGATTGCAGTCCACGTAAAGTTGTCATTTTTCTCTACCTCTCAAAATATAAAGTTTTTGTAAACAGGTAGTAAAGGATGTGAAATGTTGGAAAGACCTTTACATTGTGATAATGACATGAAAGAAAAGCAAAGCAGGATAGAAGAGAATAATGCTACAGTAGTTTCTGACAAGCTTCAAGGACGCAGAGTTTCCAACTTTCAAATGGGTTTAAGTTGGCAACCAACTTTCTTGCTCCTCTTATCTTTTATCTTTAACTTGAAATGCTTCTGCTTAACTGCTGTATTCCCTTCCTAGCTAGCAAGTTGCATGGTTTATGTGTTTTTTTTTTCTTTTTAAATTTCTTATTTGGGATATCTGATGATAAGGAGGACTTGAGTTGAGCATAAAACAATAAAGAGAAAAATGAATATCATGCAACATGAAGAGCTATATAATCCAACAACATTAAGAAATATTGAGTGCCCATTTTAATTTGAGTCAAATGAAAATATTTAAATATGAAACAAAATCCGCACGATTATCGACATGATCAGACTCCTCAAGTAAATTGTCAACCCGAGGCCCAAGGGTAAGAGCTAAGGCGCCATGGTTTTGTTACACATTCCCAGGTAACCGCCAGTCAAAAAAATGTTAGCATTTTGGTGTCTTGATATATGTTTTGGGAGTTTCAGAAAAAGAAAAGAAATCAATCTCCAATCCATGTTGTTTATATATAATATGCGTTATCCATGTAAGATGGGTAGCAGTAGCCATGAAATGACTAGTAAAATGGTGCAACCTGGAAACATTCGAGTAAATTGGGTAGTAGTGACTACAAATGACTGGTTAAAAGTTGGAAATATTCAAGTAGGAATGACTGGTATAATGCTAGAAATATTCAGGTGAAATGGGCAGTAGTAACTAGAAATGACTGCCCCAATAAGTCAAGATTGGCAATCAATTCACAAAAGCTTACATATATATATATATATATATATATATGTAGCTTCAACCTTTGTTGAAACGTTTCTCGTGAATATATGGAAATGGTCCAACAGGAAGAGGCTTTGGATTGGAATTGAGCCCCATTACTTTCTCAATGATAAGGGGTATGATTGCTTGATACCACTTTGTTTTTATCTTGGCAAAGATTTTGAGACAAACTGCTGAACCTAAGGAGCTGAAAAAAGTTAAAATCATAGCAATCAAAAGCAAAATTCCTATTGAGCTGACACAGATGACTGAAAACTGAAAAGCAATTCATTCATAAATCGCCTTGTTCCCTCCGCATCTTCAAGTTTTATTTTTATTTAAAAAAAAAATTGATCACATTCTCTCCACCAAATTAAATGGTACAAAAGCAATGCACCCCTCCCCTCCTCCAACACAAAAAAAGAACACTCATGATAATGCATGTCATTTCATGGGGCTCCCAAAAGCTGCATTGGGGAGATAGTGGTGTCTCAGATCATTTACATATCCCAACGTCATTTTAATTGTATTTCCTGTCTGTAGTTTCCATCATTAGTAGCATCGAAGTCAAACAAAGTGCTCGGTGCATCCATTATTGTAACTTTATTTCATAAATTTGGTAGAATTCTGGGTTTGCTTCATTTAGAACTTCTACCATTTTTCTTAACAATGTAAGTTTGCATCTGCATTAGGCTCCACTAACCTTCCTTTATGTCCTCCTTCATTCTGCACAAAGTCATTGAAACATTTTAAGGATCAGAAAGGGTGGAGAGTAACCCTAGCTAATTCTCAAACTTTTGTTACCCTATATTTCATATAGTCCTTGGTGTGCAACATGTGCACATTTTCCTTTTACTAATAGTTAGGAGATAGGGACTTAAATTGATTTTGAATTTCAATTTTAGAGTTAATTAAAATAGGATTACAATTTTTTCATACCTGCAAAAAATTCATCAAAAATTAAGATATTTGAATTCTCAAAAATTTTTTGTTAAACAAATATTGAACCTTTTAGTAAAAAATAACAATCACTACAATAAACTCGATACATCAAAATATAATATTTTTTCATTATTGTAACATTTGGGATGATACATTACAGTAATTAAAATGATATTAATAAAATATTAAGAAAGGGAATCATCATCAAGCATGACTAATCAATAAAAAATAACTTCAAATTTTTAGATTCTGACAAGCTATCAACATACATCTTTTTAACTTTATATGATTTCTCCAAAACCGTACATTAATTCATCTTAAACACAGGCAAAACCATGTTAAAAAGTTTCCATTTACAACAGGATGAAGAGGAAGCATATATGATAGTACATGTACGAGTTCCTTTTAGAGTAGCCAGTAGGTATAATATTATAATTTGGTGATGATGCATGTTCCAGGTTTTGTCTCTCTCTCTCTCTCTCACTCACTCGTGACTCTAGGGAGAAAGTGGAAGAGGTAACTCAAATTTGCTTTGCTTTTACAGAGAGATGGTGTGAACCAAAGATAAAGCAAACCAAAATAGGAGGGTCCCATACGTCAATCATTTCAGCACTGTTTCAGTATTGTTAACGCACGAATGTTAGCTAGTTGATGAAAGATATGACATCGCAGATTGCTAGACTTTTCTCTTTCCCTATATATAATCTCCTTGTCATTTGAACCAAGTATTAATTACCTTCACCCCACGCCCACATCCTTCTCGTGCGCCTGTTGAGGAAGAGAACAAGAGAATGGAGAATAAAGAAATGAAGCCACAGCCAAAAAGAGGTCTATGGAAGCCTGAGGAAGACTTGATCTTAAAAAATTATATAGAGACTCATGGGGAAGGCAACTGGGCGACCGTGTCAAAGAGATCAGGTATATTACTGTTGCTCATCCTGAACCTTGATGGCCAAGTTTTATAAGCAAGAGCTCTTAGCCTTCGCTTGGCTATAAGTAGGTTAAGCTTATATATATATATATATATATA